TCTAAACCTTTGGGGATAGACTTACGTAGTAGACAAGTTGATAAAAATCTATGGTGATGGTTATACCGTACGAGTTTGTTCCATGTGTTTTGAATAGCAATGGCGAACAGTAGAATACATAGTAAGGCGAACAGTAGAATACATAGTAACTTTGAATTTTGTAACTGATCTACTATTCCATCTAACTCGACTTTACAGGCTGAAGAGACTGAGAATGTTTTGCACGCATTAGAATTAAATGGATATAAGAAAAGATTCATTGAGGAAGTTATAAATGATCGTACACAAGTAAATCAAAACGTGGAAAATAAAATACAAGGCTCGATGTGTCTCCCATACGTCAAAGGTGTCTCTGAAAAAGGAAAATATGTTCTAACAAAGGCTGGAGTTCGGGTGGCATCTAAACCTGTACGTACGTTGGCAAATATATTTCGCATACCAAAGGCGAGACCATCAGAGGAGAGAACAAAGGCTGTAGTGTACAAATATTAATGTAAATCCTGCTCTTTTTCGTACATCGGTGAATCCAAGAGATGTTGGTGCTCTAGATGGTCGGAGCACAAGCCAGGAGTTCGCAAAAAGATCTTTCCTGCAATTAAAGAACACGCAGAAAGTACCAGACACGATGCTGCAAAGTCAGACGCCGTGATACTCGAGAAAGGAGTTACAAATTATACACAAAGGATTTTTCTCGAAGCGCTACATTCAATGATAAAGACACGGTCAATGAACATGCTGAATTTTCATCCTGCTATTTACCGTTAAATAATTCAATCAAGCAGAACAGTAGACATTATAAAAACAATTCAACCTGACTTTAATAGTCACATTGCTCAAAAGAAGGCTAGCAGTTTGCAGCCGAAAATTTAGTAAAATTTTTAAAAACTTTTTAACATTAGAATGTTTTTAATTAGATCAGTTACAAAATTCAAATATATATATATATATATATATATATATATATATATATATATATATATATATATATATATATATATATATATATATATATATATATATATATATATATATATATATATATATATATATATATATATATATATATATATACTACACATTATGCCTAAGCCTTTATGCGCACGCTCACTGCATTTCACAGTTTAAAAACGGCGATAAAGCACATAACAAAACACCAACTTTCCATTTTTATATGTTTCCCGTTATAGCTTGTTTCATCCGCTATTTCATGATTCCTATACGGATGAAACAGACTGTTGTGGGTTTTTGAGGTAAAACGAAAAACTATATTACGCTCTATCTCTATGGTATTGAGCACTGTTTGTGTTTCGTAAAGCAAAAACTTTAGCTAGCTATATATACATAATTAACAGGGGCGGATTTAGACCGTTGCAACTGTAGCATATGCTACGGTCAGATTTTCCATAGGCCAGTTCTAACATGGATCATAAAATCAATCTAAAATATAATTTAGCAATATTTTGTTTACTTTCCTTGTTTATATTTCAAGGTTTTATTTTATTTAGTTTTATATGTTCTAAAACATTTTATTTTGACAAATTGATGACATTTATAATACGTAACGTTAATTGTTTTAAGAATTCCCGCCCGAAAATACGGTTGTAATTGCCCGTTTGCGGGTCATTACGCAATGGACTACAGCTTAGAAAATATCATCCTTCAGAAATACACCGTAGCGTGTTGCCCATATATGATCAATTTTCGCTACGGTCAGATTCATTAAGGTCGAATCTGACCGTAGCGAAAATTGGCATATACGGCATTCTGATTGGTTTGCTACGGTCAAACGTAGCAAACCAATCGGAATGGGGCAAATGCTATAGTTTGCTACGGTGGCATGAAATTGGCTACTGCTCCAGAACGATGGAATATCTGATATTTGTGTTTGGCTCATCAACAACATGCTATTGGGAACCCACAGTACGGTTGTGCGCATTTCGAAATGAAAGCCGTCGTAAAGCTAAAGGATATATATGCGTCGAAGTAGAAATAAAATCAGATAGTAAAACGAATCATTTCCAGTCAGGTAAGCCTTATGAATGATAAGAGATGCACATTATATTTTAATTTGAGTTTTTACTGTATAGTGTTCGCTATTAACTTCGCTTTATTAAAGTGTTTGTGCGCGTATGTACAGTATACCTGCATGTATTGAAATTAATACGCGAATTATGATACGCGCGTATATATATCGTGTTTTATAGCGCGCTAATATTTGTTTGTAATGCGTATATATTCGTAAGATACGCGTATTCATATCATAATACGCGCGTTCATATGATATGCGTATTCGTATGATACACGCGTTCGTAGATGATACGCGCATTTCGGTATTCAATTGATAATGATATGCGTATGATACGAGTATCACACCTATATCGTATGTTAAAATATACGCGAGCAATAGTTTACATTTTGAGATCATTTCGGCTTATTTTTGCTTGAGAAATGAATACAATGAGGGCAAATTTAATGGTCACATGCAGTGCTCAGAACGCAGGAAATGGCATTTCCGGGCTTCAAATTTCAAAAATTTTCCGGGGGGGCATGCCCCTGGACCCCCCTAGCTATGCGAGGTCTTGGAAAATGCTACGGTCAGATTTTTGGCTGGATCCGCCCCTGATTAACGCGTTCCAAACTATTCTCAATAATTCCAAACTACCAAATTCACAAAAAATATCCTTAATTTTGCAGAATTTGACCAATTTTTCTGCACAATTTAACTAAATACATTAAATCACTATAATTTTCCTCTAATATTGCAAGAGAAATTCGTTTTTGGTAAAAATATGTAAAAATAATTTATTTCAATTTTGCGGAATAGAAAATTTACTGCTGCTTTTAGTAGTTGTTTTGTACATTTTTGCAAACTTTATATATTTCCACCTTAAAATCAAATAATATTTATAAATTTGGAAGAAAGGTTAATTTCCCTCCTCAAAAATCACAGAATTTTATGTCAACCTTTAAGATTCCCTCAAAATCCCTTATTTATAAAATAGATTTTTACAATCTTCAAAAAATACTGTATAGTGAATATATTGTAAGAGATAAATTCGGTGTCTGAATTTCAGACACCGAAAACGGTTTGAGTTTGTCAAAATCATATATAAATACCAACCATGCAGACTGAGATAAATTTAGGTGTCTGAATTTCAGACACCGAAAACGGTTTGAGTTTGTCAAAATCATATATAAATACCAACCATGCAGACTGAGATAAATTTGGGTGTCTGAATTTCAGACACCGAAAACGGTTTGAGTTTGTCAAAATCATATATAAATACCAACCATGCAGACTGAGATAAATTTGGGTGTCTGAATTTCAGACACCGAAAACGGTTTGAGTTTGTCAAAATCATATATAAATACCAACCATGCAGACTTACATAAATTCGGTGTCTGAATTTTAGACACCGAAAACGGTTTGAGTTTGTCAAAATCATATATAAATACCAACCATGCAAACTGAGATAAATTCGGTGTCTGAATTTCAGACACCGAAAACGGTTTGAATTTGCCAAAATAATCATATATAAATACCACCTAAAGATAGGTACAGTGTAGCTGAATTTCAGACACCAAAGTCGGTTTGAGCTTGTCAAAATATATTTTGAGATATATTTTAGGTAGGCTACTAGCTGAATTTCAGACAGCGAAACCAACCAGATAAATTCAGGGCCGTAGCAACCGGGGGGGCTGGGGGGACTGCAGCCCCCCCCCCCAATAATTTGCTAATAATCATTCTTTTTTCAAAATCATGCAAACTTTATCATTTAATCTGTAACAAACTGCAAAGAATGAAGATATTACTCATACTCCAGATCGTTCCTCGCGTAGAAATTTTAGCTGAATTTCTGTCGCGCATTTTCAAGAAAATCCCACAAAATCTGCACATTTTTGATGAACTAATGATTTATTTTGTCTTTTGCGTGTTGGGTCTTGCGAAAGAAAACTCTGAAAATGCCATTTCAGACCATCTAGAGACTCCAGATTTTCGAAATTTTCTCAAATGTTCTGCCTTCATTTCCGCGCAACTGCCATTTACGACGAAAATTCCCGCCGCGCATTTATAATACTACAATCTGGCCCATACTTTCCTGTAAATTTCGACATACTAAAACGCTGTTTTCTGACTATCAGAATTCTGTTAAATCTTCCCCCAAAGTCCAGGAAATGGCATTTTAGAGACTCTAAATTTAAAAATTTCCTCGGGCCTTTGGCCCTCGCTTTCAGCCCCCCCCCCCCAATCGAAAAGAGCTTCCTACGGCCCTGAAGTATAAAATGTTCACAACATGTGAAGGCGATTCTTGTTATAAAATAACATGTATACTAGAATTACAAATTGTAAGTGAAATGCTGCGAGCAAATACTGGAAGTTCCTGTGTCTTCCCCAGTCGTCTCTTGGGTAGTTGGGCGGTCTTCAGGATAGTAATGAGGGCCACTAAAGATCGAGGGCCACTAATGAGGGCCACTGCAGGGCTGCAAATAAATATTTGACTTGACAGGACATTTGTCCGATCACTTTTAATTTTGGTTGGACATAACTTGAATTTGGTCGGACAAAAACCAACATCACTAAATTTCGTCGGACATATATACGTCACAAGATATATATAAGTCACGAGACAAGTATGTATAGCCATTCCGGCGCAACGTTAAGTAAAATGCTAGAATGCCTTTTTTGCAAAATGCAAATTTGCAATCGGATTTTGTCACAGCAAAAAAATGTATAATGTGACAATTTTTTTTGTGATCGGACCAATGTCCGATCAAAATTACTTTTGCTCGGACATTTGCCAACTTTAGTCGGACATTGTCCGATGTCCGACAATAATTTGCAGCCCTGCCACTGTGAGGGCCACTAATGAGGGCAACTAATGAGGGCCACTAATGAGGGCCACTGTGTGGGCCACTAATGAGGGTCACTAATGAGGGCCACTAATTTATCAGTAGCTCACACTTACGTCATGTGTTACCCTCGGTAAATAAAGTCAAAGAAATGAAATGATAGTAATTGCATGTCTTAAAGTTCTATAAATTCGCATTAACTGGGTATGAATTTATTATCATTTGGATCAGGCATGTACCAGTGTATCACAAACATTTCGTGAATGAGAATCAAACTTAACAGATAAATACAATCTTTTATTAAAGCCATATTAATATAGCCTTCTAATATTATAAATGCATAAGTATTGCTTGAAAAAGCATTCATCAAAGTTGAACATAAAGTATAGTACCAGCTGTGATTGTAAAAGTGCGTTGTTTCACGAGTTTTGATCTACCACCAGTAGATCAGAATTAGTTACCCTGATAAGCGACTCAACATCCGCCCTTTTCGATTCAGCCCAAATACCGTCGCTTGCAACTAAGGTGGACAGTCGCAGATAAAAACATTGCCTATTTGTGTGAGAATCTTCAATGTTTGTCAAGAACACTTGACAGGTTTTATAAATCTGATCAGCCAATCACATTTAACCGGCTCCAAGCTGATTACATGATCATCACAAACATTGTACTTTGTCATGAGAATAGACAATGTTTTATCTACGACTGTTCATCCTTTAATAATAGTTGCAAGCGACGGCATTGAAGCGAATCGTTTGGTTTGTCTAACTATATAAATTTGCATAAGTGTTTCCGTCAAGAGACCACCGCATCTCACGGGACAGGTAGTCCAGGGACAACGTCTCTGTGTCAGGGATGGATCTACTTTCAAAAGCATCGAGATATAAAAGTGGATCTCCCTCAGCAAGAATCTGATCTACGTTAGATGCGGTCCACTTACCACTGTTGGATCGGCAAAGTCTGAGCAAATAATAACGCTGAAAAACTCATAAAAGAACATTGTCTTCCGCGTAAAATGTCACTATAAAACCATCGCTACCTTCATGAATGCTTCCAGCAACAAATAAATTTAAATTTGACATGATTTCAATAAAAAAAACTTACCTAACCCTAACTTATATTGGTGCGCGAAACATGGAACGATAACCCTAATTTCGTCACTCTCACGTGATATGGTTTCAACCAATAAAACACTAGAAAAATGCGACTTTGACTATTGATATATAATAATTCCATTTTCCCTTCGTCTTGTGCCCTGAAGGCTAGTAAGTACATTTCTGTATGTCGGCGGTGTTAAAATATATTGTAGGCTCTTGCCAGAGCTCTTGCCGACATGTTTTTCTTCGAATTTTGTATTAGACAACATTAGTATTACAGTTAAAAAATGTGAAATTTCAGATACATTTCTAATACAAATGACTTGCATCAATAGTGAGCTTACAAAAAACTACATATAAGACATTTAAATGGTTTATATAGCCGGAATTTTCAAGTGGTTTTCGAGTTATTGCTGTTCCAAATGTGAAAAATAAGCCAAAATCTCGCAAAAATCCTGGGTACTAGTCTGAAAACACGTTTTCAACAGCTCATAACTCAAGAAGAACTTGAAAAATCCTGATAATCGTTTAAATGTCTTACATATGTAGTTTTTGCAAGCTTTCAAATGGTGTAAAAGCTTTCAAATGTATTTGAAATTTCACATTTTGTAACACTTATCTCAGATCGTAATATTCATCACGGCTGCAGGGGTGGCAGAAGAAGGTCGCAAGATTAATAGTTGTACATTTGAGATGGTATCATTGCAGATTTACAATTTCGTCCTGCATATTTTCCGCTTAGCGTATTTCCCCTTAGTATAATGACAGGTTAACAGTTTGGTCCTGTGTATGGGCCCCTTAGTATAATGGCAGGTTAACAGTTTGGTCCTGCGTATTTTCCTCTTAATATATTAATTAAGGCACGTTATAAGTTTGGTCCTGTGTATTTTTCCCTTGATATAAAGGTAGGTCAATAGTTTGGTCCTGCGTATTTTTCCCTTGATATATTTTCGTCTTGTGTATCTTTCCTTACTACATAGGCATTGGCAAGTACTTAACAGTGTGGCCATGTTTATGTATGTCGCCCATGAATGTTGCCAGGTTAACAGTATATATATATATAGTCATGTTTTTCGCCATGAATGCTCTCAGGTTAATATATAGTCCTGTTTATGTATATATCGCCCCTGAATGGTGGTAGGTTAACAGTATAGTCCTGTTTATGTCTATATATCGCCCATGGATCTTGGCGGGTTAACAGTATATACTATATAGTTCTGTTTATGTACATATTGCTCTCAATGTTCTCCGGTTAACGGTTTGGTCCTGCATATTTTTCCCTCAGTATAAAGGCATGCAGGTTAACAGTTTGGTCCTAATTGGCGTATACGTTAGATGGTGGGTAATATGAAGTCAAGCAGATGACAGTTAGTGCAGATTAATAAGGTGCAACTATGGGTGTTGAGAATGGCCGGGGATTGAGAATGGGTGATCGGTTTTGAGAATGGTATTAAGTATGGTTGTGCAGTAGGAGTGTTTGGCAGAGTTAAGGCCTATTCCATTTCACGACATTCCCTTCCGCGAGACTGCCGAATGCTGTGAATGGTTTACTATTCTGAGCGGTATCCCCACGTATTTAAGTGAGTATCCAATTAGCACAGATAAGTCACTGTGCGACCGAGTATACCCTGTTCAAGCGTATTTCCTCCTCATCGTTTTTACCTGTTCCCCCACTCCATCACCGCTTGGCAGTTGGGCAAATCCTTTCCCGCCCTTCCCACCCCACGTAATTCCACATCTTTATTCTTCTTCACTGAGCTCGACTGACGAACCTTCCATATACTCACTTTAAGGAGTGAAGGGACTGCTGTGAATGGTTTACTTGGCTGAGTCGCCCACGGGAAAAAATACTGCAGTATATATTTCCACATCACAAATTCAACCAAAACATCTCCAATTTTTCTGCATTCCTTTAAATTTTCGACGATATAATTGAGTTTCAATTTAAAACTCCATTCAAGATTGACTTAGAAAAGTTATGTAAAAACCTTGGCATTGGGAATAGACAATTCCCATTATAAACTAATTTTAAAACTAGGCAAGGAGATGCAAATAAATCACAACAGCTAGAAAGAGCATACTAAAATGAGTAAAATTGCAAAGTTTGGTTCCGTTGTAAAATGCGGAAAATATAGCCTTGCAAAGTTTGCAAATTATGTATTGCATGCGGAAATTGCTACCACATTTGGGCCGAAAATGGTAGCAATTTCCGCACGCAATACAAAAATTTGCAAAGTTTGCAAGGCTATATATATATTTTCCGCATTTTACAACATTTCGTAACCAAACTTTGCAATTTTACTCATTTTAGTATGCTCTTTCTAGCTGTGGTGATTTATTTCCATCTCCTTTCCTAGTTTTAAAATTAGTCTATAATGGGAATTGTCTATTAGTATGAAAATATTTCTTAATATTCAGACGAACGCAGTGAGGGAAAATGAAATTATAATACTAACATCTTCATTCTATCTTCAACTAATTAAATAAGCTACAAATTTGAGACAAATTTAAAAGATTAATACGTTTTGTTAGATAAAAACTGTGTCGAAGTGATTAAATTAAAGTTCACTTTAACGACTTCGATATGATTCATATATATATAGTCGTATGCCACACTGTTTCTTTCAAACTATACATCATTTATCAAGGACGACCATAGACTTGCTCTATAAGTCTGTCCCTCAAAGCGGTTTTTATTTGAGAGTTCGGAACGATGCAGGAATTTACTTCATACATCGGTAAAACATCGGTATCATCGCAAAAACAATATCATTTACCGCAATTGTTTTAATTGAAGGCAACGAAACAGCTGGAACATTGTATATACGTGAGAGAAAGATTTGCGGCTTCAAACGCAAAAACAACCTCGTTCCCAGGGTCTCTCCTTCTGTCTGGGCTATGCCCACCCTTAACCTGCGAACGGGCATGCTCGGGGAACGAGATTGGAGAAACCCTGGCTGCGGCTGGTCACGTGCCTCCCAGATTCTGGGAGGTAAATTTAATTGTAACTGTGAGAGGGGTGGGAAAGGAGCGTGTTTGTAGCGTTTTAAAATTGCAACTTTGGGTGATGAAATTTACTGTAAATTTGCACCAAGAAATCGTAAAGAGAACTCTTAAACTAGGTTACCCACAGGGCAGTAATGCTGCCTTTGACAGCAAAAGACTAACTGCAGGGTGTTGAAGGAGTCCTTCAGAAACATCCTATTATTGTTATCCTAGCCTGCATAGCGGCTCTCAGAGAAAGTAGATCTGATGGCCGCTACGCAGGCTATTGTTATCCTTGTTAACCCATTTATTGACAGCACGGCCCTACCACTGACTGAGTATTAAAAATCGTCTGGCGTTGGACAGGGTAAATACTAAAGTCATTACTGTGCTGATGGATTAACAAGAGCCATTGGCAGATAGGTTTGTTAACCCATTTACTGGCAGTACCCTGTACCACTGACGAGTAAAATTTTCTGGCGCTGGACAAGGGAAGGGCGCATTGCCAGCTAATGGGTTAAACCACCGTGGTTAAACATAAGATTTGATGCTCCAGGAAATGTAAACAAACTATCAGTGTGACATCCCAGTTTATATATTTATATACTCGGAATATTGATTTCTCGGTATATACAAAATTATTTTAAAGTATAACAACCAGCGAAGACGTAAGCCACTAACTACCCTGCGCGGCTGCGCGCAGACTATATAATGACATATATATGTTATCCGTCCGGTCCGTCCGTCGCCATCCGTCCGTCCGTCATTCATCCGTCCGTCCGTATCCCCGTTTTATCCGAACTCGTTTTTAAAACACAAAGTTTGCATAATTAAGGCAGTGCGGTTCGTCATGATCAACATTTTCAAA